AGTGTGAGTAAGACAAGAGTGGAGAAGAAGCACAGAAAGACACATCAGAGGCGACTGGTACTACAATCTCTGGGGCCATAGATCTCTGCCTCCGTTATGGGTTGTATAGCTTCATTGTTGTTGATTGTGTTCACCTGGTGCCCTGTGTTGTCTCCTCCCCCCTCACCTGTGTCTTGTTGGTTGATTGGTCTGTGGGTATTTAGGCTCTGTGTTTCCTGTTTGTGTGTGGGAGATCCTTGTTGCTGGTGACTGTGTTCACATGAGACAGTAAGATTGAGGCTGTGCCATGTACCACAAGGAGTAATAAATGCCCACACCGGGTTGTATTTGAACTCTCTGCCTCTGCCTCCTTGCTTGGTCGGGCCGCTCAACGGTCAGTCTCACATACCCCAAGAGGCAAATTCAGGAAGACACAGGCAAGTGTAGTGTTTCACTTTGGAGAAGATTCAATGAGATAAAAGAGAAGAAGCAACACCTCTGATGGGCAAAAAGACGAGACAAGCAGACAGGAAAACTGGTGGTAACAACAAAGTAAAAGATGCAAAGAGACTGAAAGCAGCAGCAGAGCCACTGTGTGAGTTCAAGGGGGGGGGATGCAGGGTTCAGTTTCTGAAAGGGAGCCGCGCTGCACTCACGATTGACATGCTCACTCATAATGAGAGCTGATTCGGGACTTAATCACGCATTAAAGCCTTATTGTTGCACCTCCGGCCGACTGATGACACAGGGCTCCATCACGCTGCCTCACCAAAAGCCTCCACCTCACAGCGTGCTGATGGCATGACGTGAGGCCTGACCCGTGTCGTGTGTGTGTGTGTGTGTGGGGGGGGGGGTCTGTCTGTGAGGGTCTGTGTGTCTGGATCTGTGTGCGTGTGATGTACAAGCTAAAAGAGAGGGGAGTTAAAGGTCAGAAAGTCAGATCTGGTTCACACTGCTGTTCTGAATAATAAATATACTTAAAATATATAATTTAATAATATTGGTATATATTGTATGTACATACACTGTAAATGTTCATACTCTTATAGATATTATTTGACTAATGTTTGACATGCCCATAGAATAATGTAAATGTTTATACTACTTTACCATTTTCTATATTTGTTGTCAATGTGTCAATTTCCTCTAAATACTTTTCATATATTGAAATACATAGATTATGAAATCTAAAGAGCTAAAACTGTTTTTAAAATGCGTTTCATTTGAAATGGTTGTATTAATTAGAAGTCTATATAAAAATAGTACTTAATTCTTTTGGGTTAAATATGTGCATGACATCCTGTAAAGTCAATCTGTATATGTTAAACACACATATACAATTTATATACAGTATAAATATACTAGTATCTCATATGCACATATTTAGTCAAATCTTTAAATCTTGTAAAAATTAACTCTGTTGTGTTTAAATTGCAGTATTTGATTTAGAATGCTTAAAATATAGTAAATATAGAAACCACAGCGAGATTTACGAGAAACAACCCCAGTAAAACCTCTTCTTTCCCTTCAGGCTATCTTTCTAACATAATGAAAAACGTACAGGCCGACATAATTTGATAAATTAAGTGTGTGGCACGCACGGTGTAAACTGTATGAACATAATGCGTTTTACAGCATCACAATGAGCTCCTTCCTGTATATGCGTCTCCACAGCTTTCATTAGGAGTGTGCAGTAAAACTCTGACACGATCCAGTCCATTTGTCGACATGAATGGGTGGATGATGTTGGGATTTACGGCGTTCCTCTCTCAGTTGAGGCTTGTCTATAAATGTGTAGCCTCAGGTGGTGTGCATGCGAGCCAGGTGTGCCGCATCAAACTCTTACGAATTCAAAAGGCAATGAAATGACTCAAAGTATTTCTCTGTATTCTGACTGAACACCATGTGCGTCTTAATGACTTGTTCCTATTGCTTACTTACACAAATATCTTCTGTCTCCATGTTTGGATCAAAAACAGAAGGAGGTCATCAAGGTCAAATCTTACTCTCTGTCTCCTGTTGGAAAACGTCCCTTTGATCAGACAAAAGGTGTGCTGGGCATGTGATTATGCAATAAATTAAATGTGATAACCCATATTTTCTATCAAGCAATTTCATTTTTCATTCTTTCCAAATGAAGAATCATTTTCAATTATTTGACATTACATGTGTTGCAATTAGAAAAAATAGCAATGTGCTGCAAGAAAATCACAATGCAACAAAACCATTTCCAAGGCCTTAGGTTCCTTGAAAGGTGCAGTATAAATGAAAAATATTATTATTGATCAAATGTATATAGGTTCCTTCATCTACATTACTTCCACATTGGTCTTGCAACATAATCTGCACTAATTTATTCTACTCTGTTTCTTCTTACACTATTTATTTTTCTTATTTGTTTTATGTCCTATGCATTGTTGGAGGAGCTCGGGACTTACGTTTTTCATTGCCATGTCTACACTGTAGTTACTGTGGATATTACAATAAAGCCTTTGAGAAGGTATGGTAGTAGAACATGAAAATGCTGCTTACATGTAAATGCATCAGTGACCATAATCTAATATTCTATATCCCACTGAAAGAAAATGACTTTTAGGCCCTACTAAACTTTGCACGCAGGACTTTTACATGTACATCTTTGAATTCACGTTGTGGTATTTTTACTTTTACTTGCAGAAATGAAAACTGTCAACACCACTCTCGTACCGTGTTGACATGAACAGGGAATCAATCACTCATCATGTGTATACAGTACAGTATGTACAGTGAAGCATGTATGGACAGTACAGTATGAATGAAACTGTTAGCAAAAGGATGCCGGTGTTTGCTCAAAGTGTGCGTTGGCCCTTTCTATTCTCTCTGATTACATACCCACAGGACATTAACATCAGCTATTCTGATGAGGCACCCAACTCACTTCTTACCCTCCTAAATCCTTGATTCCCTCTTTCTGCACTCTCACACACACCTTTCTCTCCTTCCCTCTGTGGAAGTGCTCATTGTTTTGAGTCCTCCTCCACACTTTGATGTGCAGGGGTCAGGCGGAGGTCCCTGGTCCCTGGGGAGCAGCGAACAGCAGAATATTCAGTGTCAGGAACATCTGGAAGAGCGGTCCGAAGCAGGGCTTACTTGGCAGGGCTTACTTGGCAGGCGGTTGGTGTTGACACCGACAACCATCCTACCGGGGGCCTTTCATCTCCGTTTGAACATGTGGACTCGGCCCTAACCCCGGGAGGAGGGCGCTCCGCCAGCTGAGAAGCCGAGGCGTGGTCGCTCCGTGGAGGAATCCGGCTCTCCTGCTGTCCTGAGGAGCTCCACAGAGCATTCCTGCCTCCTCCCTGTCTCCTGATCCATGTGCTAGTCCCCCCACCACCCTCCCCTCTTGAAACATGCTCCAGAACGACAGAGGCTTCAACAGCTTCCAACATGTCAGATTGGTTCAATAGGGTCCGGGTGATGAGGGTTTTCGCAAAGATTTATTCTTGTCAGAGTCGCAAATCATCTGCCAACTTCGGAAACCTGAGCAGGTTCAATTATCTAAGGGATAGCACTCCTTAAGGGCAGGTACAAATGTTTGGAGCAATATTGAGCCCACAGGTGCAATCCATTGGTGGATAATTGAGGTGAAAAATGTAATAAATCAAAGTCTTGAATGTCAGTAATGAACATAAAGGAACAGAGTGAAATATGTCAGAACAATATCAAAGCTCGCTTTAGTGCAAAATAAAAATAAAATACTTAAACCGACAGTATCATTTCAGTTTGTGGGGCTGGTAGACACTACAGATAGTCAAATGTGTGCACAAGTTATTCAGTTTATGTCATCATGCTATTACAACAATCATATGTGTGGACATAATCAAAGTACAGTACTGTAAAGATCTGAGTAACTCATATTAGCCACAATATTGCCTGGTACGGAAGCTGCACCGCCCTCAACCTTAAGTCTTTACAGAGGGTGGTGAAAGCTGCACAGCACATCACCAGGACGGAGCTGCCATCCATGGATGACCTTTACTCCCAGCGGCTCAGGAAGAAATCTCTCAGGATTACAAAAGACTCCAGCATCAAAATGTTCTGTCTGCTGCCGTCTGGCAGGCGCTACCGCAGCATCAGGACTAAAACCACCAGACTCAGGGACAGTTTCATCCCACAGGGATCAGGGATTACTTGTATATAGACTATTCTTGCACTATTTCTATTATATTCCGTTTTATTTGTATTTACTTGCACTATTGTATCTGTTTATTGTGTTGCACTGTGACCTAAGATTGTCATTGTCATAACTACACTGTAGCTATGTACAAATGACAATAAAATAACCTTGAAATCATCAACACTTTGATCTGATTCTAGCCTGACTTTATCAAAGAGAAAATGTCTCTGGTTCAGACTCTGAGTTTGTTTAGCATTAGGAAAAACTCGCTGCAGTTTAAAAGAAAACACAAATGTGCCAAAAGAACATGCACATAAAGAAACATCTTCACCAACTTGACAACCCATGCTAACTAAAAGTGCTAATTGAAATTACAATTGACTTTAAGTGGAAACATTATTTGGAGATGTGGTCTCTCCACAGACTCACAGGGAGCTGGACAGCAGCAGAGGTTGCAGCAGTATTTCATCATCGCTCGAGTGTGTGAGACTAAAGCTCACTGCTTGTGATCCAATGAAAACAGGTGTGTGTGGACTGAGGTCTGTGAGTGAGAGAAGCAGGAGGCTGCTGGGGATTCATTGAGCCTCCCAGCTTCATTATATCCTGGTCACTGCGTTTCAAATCTGAGCCGCGACACAGCAGCAGGTCGGGGCATTCCTCAGATTTCGAAAAGGCTATCACTGCTCGGATAGACTCCAACAGATCTATTTCAGTCTAATATTTTAGGTGTAATTATGATATTTGATTTACTCGTATCAAGTCGAGATGCAACAAGGAAAATAGTCAACTAGAAAACTGTTTTTATTCATTTGCAGGACATTTCCTGGTCTTTCTGAACATGTAAAATGATATTTCTGCACGCAAAACTGAAATTCTGGTTAAAGATAGACATTTTTTGTTTTTTAAAACAAACTTCATCTCAGTTTTATCTTACATGGGGTTGAGAAGCTAGTAAATGACTTTGTATTCCTATTTTTGTCTATAAAATAGGACAATAAGTAAGGTGATAGCTTCAGATTTACTATGCAGCCACCAGGATGTTGACCTTAAAAGTCCCTGCTCTGTGAGATCCATCTCAGTGTCTCTGCTCCTCTTACCTGGAACTGATGGCTCCACGGCTCCTGGAGACGGCGGCATGGCAGCCGTCCATCTTCAGCAGATTATCCGCCACAGTGCCTCGTCTGTTTGGAGCCAGAAGATGTGAGACTTTCTGTTAAACATCAAGCTAAACCATCGCATCACCGTGGAGACCGCATTGTGTTGGTCATTCAAATGATCCAAGAGGACGAACATCAAATGGACCGTGAAGCCGTGATGTTCTGTCATGAAGCTTTAGTGCTGTCCGAGCGGGCCGCTGGATTTATGATGGTGACATTTGACATATAGGCGACAGGATACTTAACTGAACAGATCGTAATGTTAAACGTTTGTCTCTAATGCTACACTGTGTTGTAAACTGTGACAAGTCTATTAATAAGACGCTGTGGCTTATTTTAAGCTTACATTGTGGAGTGTCCTTTGGCGGAAATCTTTTCTTTGTCTTTTATTATACCTATACTTAGTCTTTATGTCACATAAAACTCAACATTTTCCTTTACATTTATTATAATTTAGGTCTCAGAAAACAGCACAATCAAGTATTTGGCATCTATGATTTCTTGACAAGTTGAATATCAACAATGTTTACACAATCTTCAGTGTATGTCTGTAAATGATGACAAATACAACAGCAGTCCATCATCAATCAATTTACCTTCTTCATCTTTGGAGGTCAAATCTGCATTGTCTGAGTCCAGGTTTCCAGATGACCGCTACTAAACATTTCAGAAAGACACAAGAGTTGGACATGATTAACATGACTATACAATGAATTCAATTAAACAGTGTCAACAAAGCGGTAGTAGTGTGATTTTTACAGGTGTGTCTAATTCATAATCAAGCTTCACTAAGCTGATAATAAAACTTTAAGTCAATACAAATGGAATTACAAAAGTTTCAGCCAACAGTATCACACATGGACTTTATAAACACATGGCTAAATATAAAGCTTCACGCCAACACTCATCCTCCTTATCTGGAAAAAAATCTCACTACTTCATGCTCTCACACTGAGAAGTTTTCCATGTGGTGGCCTTTTAAAAACAACAAACTATTTGACATTGAAACTCCACCAAAAACTCACTAAAGTGCCGCTGCAGCTTCCTCCACATCTTAGGTGTTAATGCAACCCTCTGCTATGTTGTTTACATTTTTATTTTCGCAAAAAAATCAATAAAAAAGCCACTTCCTGAAAACGTCTCTTGAATGTCACCATTTGGAGAGTTTCTATGCTCATTGGCTAACCATGCCATGTGGCCTAGCCAATGAAAGATGGTGACAGGATTGATTGACAGCTAATGCAGCCAATGACTGACACAAGCATGAGCTAAATGCAGCTTTCAAATTGAGTTCTTGTTTTTTTTACACTCTGTGGCTTGAGACAGAAAGACTGATGGCCCTATTTCTTGTAAAGAATGATGAATTGTGTGTTTTTGCATTCCAACGTCTTGTTTAAAGGTCATGTCATGCTTATCCAGTTATAACCCGTCCCCTTGCGTGTTATGAAGGTGTTTATGCATGTAAACGGTCTGCAAAGTCACAAACTCTCAAAGTACACCTTGTAGCGAGTAAAACTCTAACACAGAAAATACCTGTCTATGCTGCCCCAGAACGCCTCGTTGGAGATTTCTCTTTTTTTTTTCCTCCACCAATCCGTGGAGCCACACACACACACACACACACACACACACACACACACACACACACACACACACACACACACACACACACACACACACACACACACACACACACACACACACTCTCTCTCCAGCGGCGAAACTGTGACGAGCTGGGGGGGGGGGGGGGGTGCTAGTGGAAATGAACCCAGCTCACACTGTCCGCTCCTCGCAGCAGCGAGCCGCGCAACGTCCCGCCAACAAGGCACCCAGACCCATGATGCAGCATTCTCATCTGTTTGTCATTACTGGTGTCATTTTCTGGTTGCTAACGCCATTGTAATGTCACATAATCTGATGTTCCGCTGTAACGGTGGTGGACTGATCAGGGGCCTCATTTATAAAGGGATATACGCTCAAAAAATGGCCTACGCCAGTTTCTACGCTATGTTTGCGATTTATAAAATACTAACTTGACGGGAAAATGTGCGGTCCTCCACGCAAACTCTAACCCATGCGTACGCACTAAGCACAACAACGGGAGAGACGAGAAACTGCGACACCGTTGGCAGAAGGAAGAATGGAGAGAAATATGTGGAAATAATAGGCTACCATAAATAAAACGTTACCTCTCATTTATCATATATGAAGAATTCATTTTCAAACATTGATTAAAGCCAATCTTAAAATGATTTAACAAACGCCTGTTTGAGACTCCTCAGTGCACACAAAAACATAACTTGGAGAAATAAATAAATACGGAAATGTTATTTAAAACCACCTCGAATATGTTGTGTTAATGTTATGAAATGTTTTCTCATAAATGATGCGGTAAGCAGGAGGACAGAATTACGTCTAAACTGACGCCGTTTTGCATTTCTATAGGTTACGAGCATGGTTATACTATCACGTTTAATCGTGTTTTATGCCGTTTGCCAAGACTTGATAAGTCGGTCGTAAAACACAGGAGGTACGGAAACTAAGAACACCATATGTGGTCAATTGTACAGCTAATATAACACAACACATAGTTGTATTTCCTTTAACTGGTGGATATAGAGTTGCTGCGGGGGGGCGGGGTTGAGATGCACAGGCATCCATGGGTGCAACAAGCAGTGAAGTGAAAAGTAATGTACACAATCTACAGAATAAAATATAGAATGAATTGAATGATGAATAAACAGTGAGGGGTATGAATACACTAGATATCAGCCTGTGAGCAGTATGAACAGTGTGTATGAATATGCTAAGATATATAAAGTATGAAAACGGTAAGCAATGCAAGTATAGTATAAAATATATAGATATTAATGTCATGATGATAAACATTGTGGAACAATGATGAAAAATGGGAATAGATGTGGCGACGTAAAACTGACACAAAACAACAACAAACTTTTGCTGAGCCAATTGGAGAGTTTCATCAGCAGCACGGGGTAAAAACCAGCTCGAGATACCAGCGAGTCGTTTCCATGGATGTATAATAAGAACTGGATACAGCGTGGGAGGCGGGGCCTCATTCATTCCTATGAGAGTTGCTCATTAGCCATGATGATAAAATGGCCCAACTTTTTAGAGAGCGAAACGTCACATATTACCCGGCATGCCTGAGAAGTACCCGTATGTGCGCTCATAGCGCATGCGCAACTTTAACCAAAATGCTCGTTCACATCAAGCACGTCAATTTGCGTACACGTAACAGCACCGCACGTTCATGACAGCATGGTAATGATTTGTTATTATGATGGATTTGATATTAACGAGGCGGCAGCTAGCGGCTAGCTAGTAATTATGCTAATGTACACATCAATCAATCAATCAATCAATGTTTATTTATATAGCCCAATATCACAAATGTTACATTTGTCTCATCAATCGTTATGTACTTATATTACGCTGTAACAGGATCTAGTGATATCCAACAGAGCTTCATTTAGCATGAAAGAATGATTGCACTGTATATATATATATATATATACTTATAATAATAAGTAATATTAACTTTATTTAATACAACATTTACGGTACAAGATTTTATCATACAGCCCATGTAGTATGATAATGAATTACAGCAAACATGTGCAATATATCCATTATTACAGCTCCGTGGGATGGCAGTAAGACGATATGGGTCCGTTCGTATTGTGCATCCATGGGTAAAGTTAAACGCAACTCACATTGGTTTCTCAAACAGCATCTCTGTAAACTACGTGTATTGTAGCCTATTCACTGAATTTCACTCTCTGCCTTTAACGGCTCGTTGTAGCTCCAATAGCTCCAGCCCCCACCCTCCCTGTGAGCACAGTGTGCTCTGATTGGTCGGGACACGTAACATGAACGTGCCGGGCGGCGCGGTCCCGTGGGTTAGATGCGCGTTCATAATGCAGAGGGAAATAACTCTCAGAATAACGTTATTAGCACATTATTACAACTTGAGGAACGAATGTTTTTAATAAGGGCTATACAAGTGTTCATACTGGGTAGTTTATTTAGTTTAAAAAAAATTATCCAACGATTTACAGACCACTCTTTCCCAATGTAAGTCAATGGGAAAAAGTGTTTCCGGGCCTGGCAACCAAACGGAAGTGTAGTACCGCCGTTTGGCCAGCACGAATATTTTCATCTGAGTCCGGCGCACTTCCTGGGGGCTTGGGTCGTTTCCCATCAAACATTTCGCTTCCGCAGCCCGTGGAGAGGAACTGCGCCGCCTCGCCACGCCTCGCCACGCCTCGCCACGCCTCGCCACGCCTCGCTCTCAAGGCTGCGGGCGTCTTTGTCCCGCGAAATTTCAACGTCTCATGTAGGCGAGCCTCCAGAGCAAGTCGGACAAAATGACTAACCATCATGCAACGCACTAGCAAGACGTTGATCGCAACTGAGCAGGTCTCGCTTGTCTCAAACAAGCCTACTGCCTGAGGAAGGCTATGTGTATTTTTTTTGTCATTAACCTTTTTCGGACCACTTATTTATTTATTTTGGTGACGATCCGACCTCCATGCTGCTACTCTGGTTCAAACTGCATCCACCAAACAATATGATTTATCTCAACCTCCCCAAAATAACCAAAATCTTGCATGGTGTGTCTTTTTTAGCTGTTCTGTCGTCATTTCCTGCTATCTTCTTCATAAAGTCAGTCAAAATGAATAAATGAATGGGCGTTTCGTGAAGCCCGCAAAAGCTGCACCGCATTTCGAGTCGATTGTGATTTATAAAGGGAAAACGGCGTAGGAAGTGCTGTACGCACTTTCCTCACCGGTACGCAATGTTTGGTGAATCGGAAAATGTCGGAACATTTCTGTACCTATTTTTTGGATTTCTACTACGTAAGCAACCTTCCCACGTGAATCCTATGCACAGCGTTATAAATGAGGCCCCAGAACAGTGGGCAAGCTGACCAATCAGAGCACAGTGAGGGGGGGCAGGAGCTCCAACAAGCGATGGGAGCGAACAACGAGCCCTGATAGATCTCGCGAGAATGTGTATAAATATAGATACATTTTCATAACAAAACAATGGGGTTGCTAAGCCGTTGCTAGGCCAATTGTTGGAGTTGCTATAGCAACTCCAAGCTACCCCCTGGCGCCACACAGTGTGTGGTTAACACGTAGCAGCCTGCAGTCACAAGCTGTTCTGATGAAGGTAAACACAGCGAAGGCGGTGCGTAAAAAGGCACATCTTTACCCGCTGGTGCTTTACTTCTCAGAGGCGGAGTTACACGTCCCGCTGCCTCCTGATGCTGCAGCCATTTCATGAAGTGAATGAGGTTTTCCTTCTATAAAACAGCTGCGGGCAGCAGATACAGTGAGAGTCCCGGACATGAATTCATAGATCAAGGCAGACTGGTTTACTCTCCTGTTTTGCCAATCCGGTGCTTAAACAGATAGCTCTACACCCCTGGCCGACATGTCCTTAAAATGAAGTCCGAGTTTGAAATATATCTCAAATAATGTATGCACTGCCATTTCCCATGCACATAAACATAACAGTCTGCAATTAAACAGTTGTCTCCTGTGCGCTCCTCTTCCTACTTGGCGCACCGGTAACTTTCTCGTGCGCACGAGAGGCTGAGACCCTAGGCTATACAGGATCCGCCGAATCCCTCGGAACATCATAAAAGCCATTTTTAACAGTTTTCTAGTGAAAGTTTAACCAGGCTACTGGATGAAATAATATGACTGGTATAGGTGCAAAAATTAAACGCTTTTTGAAAAAATATTATGATAAAATATTTGTATATATTTATAATTCTGCAAATATTACGATAAACTCACAGCTATTTCGCGGCCCGGCAGTAACACTTCCGCGGCCCGGTACCGGTCCGCGGACCGGGGGTTGGGAACCCCTGCTATACAGAGATGCTGTATGAGAAACGTGAGTTTGGAAAATTGCACAATATAAATATATTCTAGAGATTCTAGATCTCAACAATGGAATTATGATCAGTAGAAATGGCCATGACATTGGGACCTTTAAGAATCAAAGGTAGTCGACCACATGGGTTTAAATAAACGAAGATAAATACAACATAGGCCTATGTTGGTCATTCTGATGGACTGGTAAACACAACACAATTTGAGGCACCAAAAGACCGAAACTGATAACTCACCGACAGGTGAGTTATCAGTTTCTGTCAGAATATGTGTAGACTTTCTGCGCTCCTGATGTCAATGGGGAGCATTTCCCACCATTTTGGAGCCAGGGTAGCAAACTAGTATGTTTTTGTTGACGGAAAGTAATTTTAATAGTTTTCCGAGATTTCATTAAATTGAAGATGCCCCAATACAACATGGAGTTCTTCAAGTGTTCAGAATAAATGGAAATGGAAAGAACGGAAATTCTTTGACAATTGGTTTCACTTGATCTGCTGATGAAGATATTTTGAATTTCCTTCTAAGGTTCAGAATAGCTTCTACCGGAACTTCTATTTTAATGACAAAAAATAAACTTTTCAGACAATGTTTTGCAGCTTCTACTTTATCCAGGACTGTTTCATTGTAACGCTCAGATCCAAAGCCCCCCACACTCTGACCAGGGCTCGCAATTAACGATGTCCCGATGTCCCGGGGACCATAAAAATTCCTACTGGGACACAAATCTATTTTGTCTGGGACTATTTCGGGACAGTGAAAAAAAAATGAAAAGTAAACTTCAAAATGGGTGTTATTTGCAAAGTCATTGGGCTGTCAAATCATAGAATGCATTCTACGTCATCCACTCTGCTGCTGACTGCTGCTAGTAGGGGTGGGCGATACCACAAAATCTGGATTCGATCCGATACCAAGTATTTCAGGGCCAGTATCGCCGATACCGATATCGATACCGATACTTTTTTTTAATGAAAAGCGTCTTATGTACTTTCATATAGGGGAGAGCTGCATGACATGATTTTTGAGCTGAAATCATCATAAATAGACTAAATCTGAATTCATTTTCATGAATAAAGACAGGACAGTTTTTATAGACAAATACACGTTTTACTTTTGCAAATTTAAAGTGCAAACATGAAAAATAACAATACAAAGTGGCCAAAGTAGCGAACTGTCTTCTTGCACACATCACAGTTCGCTAAGTTTTAATTGCCAGTTGTGAAATTGCTCCACACAACGCTGCTCTTTCTCTCAGCCATCATGCGCGTGTGTGTGTTGCACTCGCGAGTCGCTGGCTGCTGCTGCCCTGCCCTGCTGGCTGCTGTCAGTCAGCTTGATAATCGGCGTTCAGGCAGGGAGCCTCGAGGAGAAGTGGAGAGAGAAGAAAAGAGCATATACTTGTGTTCGTCTGCACATAGTTTTTTTGAAGAAATTGACGAGTAGAGGAGACGAGAACAAAAGTATAACAGTATCGATCCTATTGGCTCTAGTATCGATATTTTGAAACGTAACGTAATATCGGAAAGTATCGATATTTTGGGATCGATCCGCCCACCCCTAGCTGCTAGACTCGCGCCAATGCAACGGTCACGACAGTTAAAAAAAGTAGAAAAAAATGCTGAGGTGGTTGAATAAACAGCCCCCTGATGCAAGCCCCAATTCTGTCGACTCCCGAAACAAAAACATCCCAAGTCCTGGTCATGATGCATCGTCTTCCACTGTGGTAAGTTAGTTGTCTTAAGTGTCAATGTTAGTTAGCGCTAACTAACGCTAGCAACTGAAGTGTCCCTTACAATGCATACAAACGTCCTAAAATGCGGTGTCATGTTCTTTTGAAGTTTGTGAAAATGATGTGAAATACAGTTGATCAGAATAAGAGGTGTAGCCGATCATTTTTGTATTTTCTTTGTCAGCCAGTCAGTGACCTGGCTAGAATCTTTAGCTGCAAAAACGTAAGGCATTTAGCTAATCATTTAGCTTTTCATCTTTTTTTAGTGTTTTAGTTTTTTTGGGTCAAGAACGTCAGTCAGATTGGGTGACGATTAGAAAGGGGGTCGCAAGGTAATTTAGTTTGTCAATCACAGGGCTCGACATTAACGACTGCCCGATTGCCCGGGGCCATCTAGTATTTAGCTCGGGCAATGAAGCCTCACCTGCTGGTTGCCCGATCGGGCAATCTATTATGCCAGTATCATGTAGCTCGCGGATCCATTAAGCCCGACAGTAAAACTAAACATATCTATAACTAGTGTAGGTAGTTTGAGAGGTAAGGGGGTGAATGAGTGAGAGCAAGATGATTGACATTCATGAATGAAAATAGAAGATCAATTTATATTCCTATAGTACTACTGACTTGTGAGGATGACTTGTAATTAGAACTGAAAACAGATACATTTATTAAACTGTATTATGGAACTTCTGTTTTTTTATTATCATTCATACCACTTGTATTGCCAGATAGAGGGTTCCGATCATAAAACACAGAGACCATACAGCCATACCATATTGAATTGAAAAATACAAATCAGAATTCTTCAATGTTGACATGACAATGATAAATTAGTCTGGATATTGAGAAACAATAGAAAAACATGTCTTAAAACAACTCTCTTCCCTTCTACTCTAGGAGAGGCAACAGATCAGACTAATATTCATATGTTTAAAAGAATAAGTATTTTAAACTTACATGGTGGACCAGAGTCTATGGTGTGATGATTAAGTGACAAAAAAGTATCAAATTATATGTATTCTGCATAATTGGGGGGGCGACGATACAAATTTAAATTTGGGACACTGCTGGTTATATCCGGGACAATACAAAGTAGAATTCGGGACAGTTGTGGGACACTGAGGAAACAAGTTAATCTCGAGCCCTAACTCTGACACTACGACATGAATCATGATGAAGCCCAACATGCAGCATGGACAACCAGCAGCCTTCACTATAAGCAGCTCCTGGAGGAATCTGGTTTCAGTTTACACGCTGCATTGTAGTATGACAAGCAACCATCATGCCACCATTGGCCCGTCCTCCTTCTACTATACCATCCTTCTCCTTCATTGTACTTCTCTCCAAGTAGGTCAGCAGTCGTGTGTTTTGTTAGTGCATGTGACCCGAGCGGCGATCCGTCCAGGATTCCAGACACGTTTCCAATTCTTCCCAAAACAACTGCCGGGTTAATGAACACACAGCACGGCACATAACGTCCCGCCAAGCATTATGGATGTCCGACACAGCTGCTGGAAGGCCTCCATGCAGAGCGGGCTAATGTTAATCATTTCCCACAGTGTCATTAGAGGGGCAGATGGAGGCCCGCCAAGGACTCACCTCATTGGACTGCCACTAAGCGAGGCGGGAGGCAGAGAGGTGGTGGAGGGGCTTTTAGAGAGTGTAAAGAGTGTTAAGACTACATTTTCAAACAGATACATCTCCATCTTAAAATACAAAAAATACATTATGATCAAATACTAATGAGACTTTTTAAATTTTTTACAAAAGCTGGATATCTCATTTCAAATCCAAAGCCTCTGATATAACGAGTGATTTTTGTGAACAAACATTTCTTAAATCAAACACTTCAAAGTTATCTTCTCTGCTCTTTATTAAATCTGACAGGACGTTGCCAGCCTTATTAGATAATCCTAAAAACCTTCTCTAATGTAAAAGTAATCTGTTGTGACACTACAAATGAACATAAACTAATCTTAGTACTTGTTCATCTAAATTACAATGTTTTCCTTTTTTATTTTCTAAATGCATGCTGAGTTATATCATGTATATGTAACAATTACATTTTTCCTGGGTTTTGATTTTCTTTCAAGTCAGCTGGAGTTTTCCAACACATTGTGGACTTAATGGTAATCATCTAGCGGGCTAACTGGCTATAGCGTACTAGAAAACTAGCTTAAATGTGACCATCTTTGTAGGAAAAAGGTGGTCACACATTTATAAAGATAAATCTGCCACAGTTATCATTGCCATCGGCAATGGCATACAAAGTTCTAGAGAAATCTTGGTCGGAATAGCAACAGTAACTAAGGGGGCGGGCTTTGTGAATGGTCAGTTGCTAAAGAAACATTGTTCTCAAATAAGTTAACACAAAAAACGAGACAAAGCTAAATGAACTTGGTATAAAATACTTTAATAAATAATAGGGTTGTTCTAAGAACAAACAAAAAAAAATTCCACTAACAAACCAAGACTTTTACCAAATTTTGTACAAAATAATTACAATGTTCTGCCCATTCAGAAGTTTTACCAACAGAAAATGAATTTGGGTTTTACGTGATTTGCATCAGATTTGTAACAAAATCATAAAACATAATATAGTGACAACATTTGACTTATTTTAATTTTTAAGTTTCTCTTCTCCTGTGTGTTCTTAGTGCAGAAACAGATTCTTTACAAACATAGGACGACAAGCACAACAGTCAACATCAACAACAACACAACTTGTTCCCTTCATTAAACCATAATACAAACAGAAGGAGAGGCGGGGCTTAACAGGGAGTAACATTAAGGATTCACACTCATCCACTGCGAGTCCATTCAAAACCTCACACCTTCTGATTTGTCAGTGATGGGGGTTCAGTGTCGTGCAATAGGGCACTTAAGTAGGGGGGGGGGGGGCGCGGCACAACAAGGGTTTTCATACTCACTAAACACCCCGCTGCCCTGCGTGGCATCTCCACTGTCAACAGACTGTAAAATAGTGAATTTATAACTGAAGTACGAGCAGGCTTAAGAAGAGAGAGACTGGCAGCAGTGCTTTTACGTTGTGTGGACCCTGTGACCCGTAAGAGTGGATTGAAAACAGAAATCAGATGCATCAGCGCCGGTTTAAGACCTGAATCTCCTGCACAGGGCTACTTTAGTGTTCTCGTGCCATTTGGAGTCCTAAAATGGAAACATGAAATGAAATATGCGACTTGAAGCAGCGCTCTAAGCTTTAAATGGGTGTTAAATGTGTCTCTTGAAAAAAAGAACCGCTTCACACAAAATCAAAAAACGTGTTTGAAATGTGTTCAATATATCACTATGGAACAGTTGGTGTCAAATAATTAAAGGAGGGAGTCATTTTGGACAAAGCTAGTCTCTTTACATCGTAGATTTGGACAAAAAAGTGCAGAAACAAACCAGTTCAATTTCTGCAATTAAGCATAATTTCAAAGCCAAAGAAATGATTGATATTCTACCCTTTTGGAAAGGCCGTTAGCGTTCTTCATTTTAAAATAAAAATAGTTAAAAGAGAACGTGAAATGTGGCCTGTTGGCTGCAGCTGGGTCTGGCTGTTGCTTTGAACCAGATGCTAACAGTGTGTTAATAATTATTTACACACAGTCATAGAATGTGAACATAGCTTGAAATGTGGAAAAGATCAACAGTATTTTCCAAAGAAATCTCAGTGGTAGCAGCTAAAGCATCATTTTTTGACCATTTGAAAAAACGTTGAAATTAGTGACATTTATATTACTTTCTGACGGTTTAATAAGAATGAAATGGTTTAAAGAGGTGGATTATTGCATGAAGGGTGGCCCATAAGACATTTGTAGTTGTAAGGATGATGAAGAAATAGAAAAGTGGATCCTGCAGTTTAAGGGGAATTCTGATTTAAGGGGTTAAAACAAGTTTCTAATGAATTGAAAGGAGTTTCCAAAAGTTGACTGACACCGAGCTTTATCAGCTCTTTAGTGAACCCCACTCAGATCCTGACAACCTCTCACATTGATAGTGACACGCTTAACAAACTCTGTATTTGTGTTCTCAACAGCTGTAACAAATAACCATAACACAGAGACAAACAATCATGATCTGTTTTCTTTTCAGACTGATGCTCTTGATTCAACGGGACCCTGGACACGGTCCGAAAATCTGTATAAAACCTTTCGTAGAGTCAACAGACACTCAGAAACGGAATGACATCATTAAAAAAACAACCACGGAAAAAAAAAAAAGTTAGAATAACTATGATACAAAGCATCACTTAAGTTACTGAATTCAAATATACACAGCCATTTCTTCATATTTACATATGTACATCGCAAAGAAATAACTTTGACTGCGTTAGAGAGTTGTAACTAGGACATCTTTCCCTTTATATGTATTTAAATTCTGCATAACATCTATAGGAGGGGAGAAAAGAAGAAAACAAATAGGGCTGAAGGCACTTTTCTACCAAAGCAAATCATGGAGACCGGCAGAAGCCAATGACATCATTATTAAAAAGGATATACGTAAGAAGTCTTAACAGGAAATGGAAAAGATGTTTATGAATGTAAACAAAGAAATGCTCATGCCAGGTATGATACAGTGGATTCTCTGTGCCAACTTTCAAGGACTTAAAAGTATATAAAATCTTTTTTTTCTTAGTTTTGTTTTATAAAAAGACAATGATATGAAGACAGTGTAGAAAAGGCCCGCAGGTGTGGGCTAAGGCAGACAGGAGCCGAAAGCACCAAACATTAAAACAATGTTAACAGCTGCCAGCCGATGGTCTGTTAAATCTCAGAGGTTTAAACCAAAGAAAAAGGGAAGCGTCACTTCTGATGAGTGGAAAACAGTTTTTCAACAAACAAACAAAATCAGGAGCTGTGAAAATAAAATTCTCCTTGATTCCAACACAGTGGTGACACAATCCAGAAGAAGCTGTGAGTCTTTTTTTGATGGTTTTTCTGTATTTTTTTGGTTTGTTTTTTGGTAAAATAAGCCTCCGTGCGGCAGACAAAGGAGTTAAATAAGGTGTGACAAACAAAAATAGAAAATTAAACATCTGTAATCTTCACTTTTGGTGCTTTTAAGAGTTTAAAAGTCTCTGAAGACATTGCAGTGTTTCCTGGTGTTCATACATAGTGGTCTTTAATGTCCTCGCTGAGCTGTGCTGCGTTCAGGTTTTTACAGCGGTTGTCTTTGGGGCTGTACACTGTCCGGTGCGGCGCCTTGACCGGAGCGCTGCGAGACGTGCAGACGACCCCTCCCTTACCCATCAGCCCCTTGTCCTGCGCCCCCGCTGTGGGGCATTTTAGAGCCGGACACTTCTCCCCCATGCCCAGCTCCTCGTCTTCCTCCTGCTCCCCCTCCTGCTCCCCTTCCTCCTCGCCCTCGGCCCCGTCGCACGGGCCCATCAGTTTCTTGCATTCGTACTGAATGTCTTTGTCGCGGTTGTCCTTGGGGGCGCTGCTCCGCGGCGGCTCCAGCCGGTTGTTGACCGTCGCGTCCTCGGATCGGGACGCTCTCTCGCGCTCTTTCTTCCTCTTGCGCGTCCACCAAACGCAAACAACGATGCAGAAGATCCAGAGGAGGCTGAAGACCACGCACAGCACCGGGACCCAGATAACCTGCAGGACGAAGTCAAAGGACACGTTAGAAGAATATTTCTCTGTAGGAAATAAAGAGTACTTGACCCTGTTTGTCTTCAACAGGCTTGAACACATGCAAACAAATTGCATTTACACCAAGAACCCTCCACCCTCTCTGCAAAGTATTAAAGAGGCACTATTGTGATTTGGGGGTTTCCCTTTCCTCTCGTGTGTTCTATAGGTTTTTGTGCATGTTAATGGTCTGCAAAGGCTAAAATCCCTGTGTTCCCTACAGAGGGAGTTTCTGAGACGCCTCCATTCGACTTATCTGTTTACTTCTGGGACATAGTGACATCAGTATGTAACACTTGGCTTTTATTAGCTAGAGCTCCAACACATTGTACGTGATAGGCAAAGAGGCGGGACATCTCTAAGCGGTTGACCAATCACAACAGAGCCGTCTAGCTAACCAATCAGAACAGACTAGGCTCTGGTTTCAGACAGAGGGTGAAAAGAGGTGCTGCAGCACAGGCAGTGTGAGAATAAATAAAGAGCTGTTTGAACATTAAAGGATGTAAACACGTCACTGTAGAGCAGGGGTGTCAAACTCAAACACACAGTGGGCCAAAATAAGAAAATGGGTACTAGTCGAGGGACTGGTTCAATGTTTATTGCAAAACGTATTGAAATGAACTTATTGCACATATTAAACCTGGGACTAACAAAGCTTAAATTATTGCCTATAAAAACAACATTAAATAATCAGTTGCATTCATTTCTTATGGCTCTATCTGCAGCTTTTCCCGAGTCATTTCTTATGATTACATTTTTCCACAGGCCAACAACAGCTTCAACAAAACTATTTCCCTCAAAGAAAACACCAAACATGCCCTGTTGTCGCAATAAAACAAAGTGCAGAAGGAAACATCCATTGAAACTCAGTGTGCTGCTCTGTGATGCACACTAAGCCAGATACTTGGCATCTCATCTTGGGTGCAAGTTCATCAATGTTTGGGGTCTGAGCTGAGGAGACCCTCAGGATGGAGTGAAGGTGTGCGTGCAATATACCGGAGGGCCAGATCTAATGGTGATTAGAAATTATCCTGCGGGCCGAAATTAAATCCACCAAGGGCCTGATTTGGCCCCCGGGCCTTGAGTTTGACACATGTGCAGTAGAGGCACAAAATGCAAATATGAACCTGGAAATTAGCATTATACGTTAACATTTTTTATTTAAATAATCTTCATATATAAATCAGGGATGTGTGACTCACCAACAGGCGGAGGCTCCACCGGCATCTCCACCTTGACCTCAACCACTGCCATCATGACGGTGCTGTTGTGGCGTTTGGAGAGGGCGCTGATGATGGAGCTGGCTGCCTTCTGGATCTGTCCACGATCAGCGTCACTGGACCGGCCGTCCTGCTCAAAGGACTGCAGAGACAGAAAGATAACGAGATGGAGGTCAGGAACCAATTTGTGTTGCACTGCATTCCACATGGTAAAAAAAAGCTGTTTTCACATTTCTGGGAGAATATGTAGGCAATGTTAATTTGGTGGTTTTGTAGGACCCATTAACATGCAACAAACAATTCTTTCGCTCAGATACACTGCTTGTTTTCAGTTAGTTTGGAGCATCTGATAGTTTGTTACAGTGTGCCACATGTTGCCCTAAAACTGTGTGGTTACTTAAAAAGAACATTTAGCAATAATAAAAAAAATGGCGATTGGGACTAGGTTCAGTGAAGAAACTGACGGCACAGATTGATCAGCTGACAGAAGGGAAAGAAAAAGAACGCCTATTTGCCAAATGGTCAGTGTTGCTTGAGGTTATGGAGAACAACAAGAGAGAGAGAGAAGGAGAAACACACATTCATCCGTCAGAATAAAAGAGATTCCCATCCTAACATCTGGCAGGCTGCGGACCCCCCCCCCCGCTGAGACCACAGAGGGTGGAGTTAATTGCCTAATAAGGTGCTGAGGGTGAGAGCAGGCAGGAGGTGGGGGGCAGAGGGGGATTAGCTGTATGCTGTGCAGTTCAATTAGGACAAACAATAGAGAACAGGCCAGCTGTGCTCCCCGCTCGGCCAGGGACAAACACTCCTCTTTTCTTCTCCTGAGAAAATCCGCAGCTCATTCACACACCTCTAGGCCCGCCCCCTGAGTGATTGACAGGCCACATCATGCTGAGTATCCTACTATACTGCCGACTGTGTGAGTAGCACTGAGGATCAAAATGATCATTAACTAAAGGTTTGCATTGGATACTTTGATACTTACATAGATATTTTTGTATTATTTGTATACTGTATCATATTAGCATAAACAAAAGCAAAAATTAGCTGGCTACTACTTTTTTACTGAACATTTTATTTATTTGTTTGGGACTATTTTCAGCGGCGGATTAATCCACATATGTTGCTCAAGTGTGTATTTGATGCAGCAGGGCATTGTATATGGGATTGAGTTACATACTTAAATATAATGATACTACTCACAGGGATTTAACCTACTGTTTCTAAGACACTTCATGATTCAAGTTTGTTTGTTATTTGATGAACCAGACTTTCATTTGATTAACTTTCATTTAAAATCTTCAGTGAACTTTGAAGACTTAAAAGCTGATACATCTGTATCAAGCCTTGTTAAAGAACATTGTGACAACCTGAATAATGAAAAAGCTCCTCATTCCCCCCCCACACATACACTGAGACATATTGAAGCACTCAAGGCTTTGCAACAGAGCATCTCAGGCATTTACAAACACACAGAGAGCCTTTAGAAGAGAATACATCGACCAAAAATGGCCACAATCTGCGGAGCTGGATTATAAAGATTTCCTCCACACTTTGAAATGAGGGCTGACATTTTGCTGCAACACGAGTCGGCAGCGAGTGGGAGTGAGTTTTTTTCTTATTATATGAAAGCCTTGTTGTGGGGTTTGGGTGGATGTCAGGTTGGCCACTCCTTTTCCTGTATCTGTCACTCAAAACAGGCCAGCAAACATCAGAGGAGCAAGAGCTAATCCCATCCATTAAAAGCTTAGAGCCCCGAGGTGACTGATTCCCCCCCCCCCCCCCCGAGTATGGGTGGCCGAGCGAGGAAGAATAAGGGAAGACAGAGAAAAGAGGAGAAAGAAATTGGAGTGGAAAAGACAGCACCAGAGAAAAAGGTAAGGAGAAACAGAAAACAGAAGAAGAGAGAGACGAAGATCAGCAAGGTATCCCAACAGAATTGCTAAATCTCATCCAGATGTGTTTAGAAAGCTTCAAACGCCTCTCCCTCTTCCTGTTCTTCCTTTCTTGTTTCTTTAACAAAGAAGACAGATTCGGAAGTAGAAAAGCTTTGGTTTTTACTGGAATCCTCTGGAAGCAATTTGCAGTGACAAATAAAGTGTGATTGGAGGTGGGAGAAGAAAAGAGGGAAAGTGACAGGCAGCTTCTAAATCTGTTTGAAAATGGGAACTATGAAAATAAGCCCAACGTTGTAAGACACCAGAAACGATGCTCTTATAAGACGTAGATGAGGGTAAAGATGTTAAAGCGAGGAGGGCTCAACGTGTTGCCTTAAGCTAGCAGCTAATGCTATTTCCAAGGCACATTGTAATTAGCATCCGTCTTGATGCAAGAGTGGAATGTGGAGGACAAACAAGAACAAATAAAGATTCTGTTTTATGTAAAGCTAGGCAAAACTATATTAAGTTCATCTTTAAGTAATATCGTTACAATTAGTAATAGTGTTTCTTTTTTTCAAGGTTGCAAATCGTAGACTTTATATCACTTATTAAATGTACATGAAACCCAGAAAGATCATGGACCATGCATGCAATCCAGAAACCTTCTAAAATAAAAGAGTACCACCAAAGAAAAACCTTTTTTTGGATCAATACCCTATGTCAATGTGTGTGTGTGTGTGTGTGTGTGTGTAATATTCACCATTGCGACCTCCACGGCGTCGCTGTTGGAGTAAGACAGGTCACAGAGGATGAGCAGCGCCCGCTTCTCCGCCAGCGTCTGAGTGACCGGGAGGTACCTCAGCTCCGAGCAGATGTTCTCTACAGTGGTGCCCTGACACACACACACACACACACACACACACACACACACACACACACACACACACACACACACACACACACACACACACACACACACACACCACACACACGACACACACACACACACACACACACACACACACACACACACACACACACACACACAACACACACACACACACACACACACACACACACACACACACACACACACACACACACACACACAACACACACACACACACACACACACACACACACACCCACACACACACACACACACACACACACACACACACACACACACACACACCACACACCACACACACACACACACACACACACACCACACACCACACACACACCACACACACACACACACACACACACACACACACAGAGATAAAACAGATTAGTATCTGCGCTGCTGGCGAGGAACAATCAGCTTCTAATTCCTCCTAAGTCTGTTTCAGATGCAGACGTTTATAATATCCTCCCCGGGGAGACTGTGGCTCAGATCTCAGATCAGTATCTCTTCAGAGGAACCGATTCATTTCCATTCATAAAACTTCATTCAGACCTGCAGGGACGCCATTGAACGTTTCGTGATAGAGTAGTAAACAACAAAAACACCATGTTGACTAACAAGAGAGAGGATCCATTCATGGAAGAGCACATCTGCCACTTTAACTGGAAGTGTATGGACTTTCTCTCTTGCTGCATTTAAAGTCTATTCCCTCCACAAATTGGCACCTTTTTGTATTCTTCAACAACAAAGGAGATCCAGGATCCAAATCTGATACAAATCTGCAGCTTCACAGACTTTTCTTCCCTTAATGATTTGTTTTCTCAGCCTCCAAACATCAATATCTTCACACATGCTGCGTGGTAGGGTTTGATGAGGTGTGGATTTATAAAATGAGACAATCTGTCAACGGAGTCAAAAATAGGCTCTCATCTGAATACAGTGAGGAATGACACGTGTGTGTTTGTGGTTGCAGATTCAAACAAGAACATATCTCAACACATTTTCTACCAATCCAGCAATTATCAAATGTTAACAATGCAGGGTGGGAGGAGAATGATTTCAAATGTGTTGTTATGACATGACACATCAACATGGATGAAAAATGACTTGATTGGATTGTAGGCGCGTTGGTGGTTTTGCAACTGTCTCTTCAGACTTTTCTCTCATTGAGAACTCGCCAAAGTATTTCCATGCACAAAGCGCTATGTCTTTAATGTTATATGGCAGCTGTGGCTTTGAGAGGTCGTATTCCAATCAGAAGGTCAGTGGTTCGATTCCCAGCATACTGTCCTGTACTGTACTTAACCCCAAACTGCTTCATGGCCACCAGTGTGTGAATGAGTATAAATGTTAGTCCCCCTGAGCACAGTGTGTGAATGACTTGTAAATGCTAATAAATGCATTTTGCCATTATTGATGACCGAGCATACTTAATTAATTTGATACATTTTGTGGGGTATAAAATGTAAAAATTGCATGGACTAATCCTCCTCACGATTCACTTGTTAAGTCTGACCCGTAGTCCAAAACCGATCTTACAAGATATTACAATTATAACTTTACTTCTGTATCCAACAAATAGACAGCTCCTTACCTGCGGCACTTTGTCCTTCTTGAAGATGAGGGTGATGCGAGCGCAGCTGTTGTCAAGGTAACCGCTGTTGGGCTCGCACTCTGTGTGTAGGGGTGTCGGGGGGTCGGGTGTAGAACACACACCCCACTGGTGGCAGGGCGGCGAGAAGCAGGTGAGGAACTGATGCTCCACACACTCGTGACTGCCGGGGCAGGGCGGGGGGGTTGAGTCCGCAGGAGGAGGAGGAGGAGCCTTCGGGAGGAGGCAGGGCCGACGGCCACATCGCACCTGGGGGAGCACGGTCAGTCAGACACTGCTTTCACTGGGTTTAAACATCTTTTATAAGTCGATTCTGTACGTCTGTGGGAAGCACTTATGATGCTTATGAGGCTATCGTCAATTGTCAAAGATAGCTGCTGTTTGCTTCAAAGTTAAAGTGGTGAATGTAGATGCTGCATTGAAATGTAAAGCACTGAAAAGCCAAGGAAATCCAAGTGAGAGCCTGCTTCCTGCCACTCATCAGCCTGACAGGACATCGATCCCCTATTGCTTTGAATGTAACTATACATTAACGCCGATCATCGATCTCCAATGACATTGCTTAATTGTTTGCCTGACTGAGCATCATACTTGTGCTCCATGTAGATAAATCATCTTTTGATAGGATTGGCGAATAGCGGAAAGTCCCTGGATGGTTTGCTCTCAATCTATGGGTGTATTGCTAGTTTTTATAACCACATTCAAAAGGTTTATTACAACATTATCACTTTGGTAATAAACAGTCTTTGCTGTGAGCCTTACCTTGGAGCAGTGCACGTTTCCGTTGACACACTGGCAAGCGTTACACTCCTCATCCCAGCGGCTGCCGTGGGGAAACTGCAGACCGGCATGACGACACGACTTCCCGAGTCCGATGACTGGAGAGAACAGAGGAGAGTTTCAGAACAAAAGGAAGAGACTCGGTTGTCAATCCTCTTCTTTATGTACCCAAGGTACTCCAGGAAATCTACCAAACAGTATAAATGGGTGATAGAGACTCATGGTACTCACACTTCTGACAGCGAGGTCCAGCGTATCCTGGAGGACAGACACAGCGGTATCCGTTGATTTCATCCATGCAGGTTGAACCTTCGGCACAAGGAGACGACTGACACTCATCGATGTCTGTAGAAAAAAAACATACATTTAAAAATTCAGTACAAAGAGGATAATGAGACCTTAACGTCAATACACTAGAAGCAAAGTGTCCAGTTGAATCCCTTGATTTACTATTGATGTTAGGTCCAGAATACAGAGTAATGATCCATAAACAGAGCGAAAAAGATGGGGAAGAGTTCTTAGTCCCTATATATCCTATCTTTTACAATTCACACAGGTCTTAATGCATTGATCTCCTTCAAGTATTTCTCTTTAGCCGAGAAAAATCTGAGCTTTGAGAGATTTCAATGTGATATTCAAATATCTTCAATGAGTGATGGAACTCAGAGGATCTTTCTTCGCACAATGGGTTTATTGCAGTTTGGTTTGAAACGCATCAATTGGATGACACTCTGGCTCTGAAAAGGCCTTTCTGAAGAGATTTCTCCCAGAAGGCCGCGGGAGAGCGCACTGACCCGTCTGACGGACCTCAGCTCTGACCCGGGCTCAGCGCAGAGGGGAGAGGTTAAGACCGTCTTCCTAAAAGGCTTCCTAATCTGCCGCCCTGAAACAATCGGCTCACACTCCCCCGCCGCGGCCTTTCACCTCTGACCCCCCGCCCACCTGACCCCTGCACACGCCCCCTCCGGTTCCCAGGGACTCACTGATGCGGCAGTCCGGTCCGGCGAATCCCGGGGCGCACTCGCAGCGAAACCAGTTCACACCGTCCACGCAGAGGCCGCCGTTGTAGCTGCAGAAAGAAACAAAAGACACATGAGTTCACCGCTGCTGCAAAACCTGAGGTTCACAGTGAGCTCAAACAGTAACACTCCTTCTACGTTGCTTCTAATGTCTTCCCTGAGGGGGAAAGCCTTCTCATGCTCCATGCTTTATGTTAAACTTTGAATCAAGTCCATCAGCTGACGTCCTTTCTAGGGAAACACTGAATGTGGTGTTGACGTCTGCCTGGAATTCACTTCAAATAAAAAGATAGCTCACTGCTGACTGATATTTGACATTTAGTAGATTTTATTTTTTACCAAAAGTCCTGCGGACACGTTTTGAACACTTAAATGTAACTATGTCTCTGAGCTGAGTGATATAAAGTCAAAAGTTTACGTTGCCTCATTTCTAATAATCCCTTAAAAGGAGTTCACAAGGAATCGCAAATGTGTCAAAAGTTTCATATGAAGACCAATGTTAAGAATTCACCAAAATAATATCCCTTGGCTTTATAACTATGATCTAATAAAATAGGTTACTTATCATTTGTGCCAGCTCTTGGCCCATTTCCCTATGATAACTTCAGCTTTAAATCCTTAAAAACAAACGTATACAAAAATAACCAGTTTGTAGGAAAAAGAATAAATGTTGATCTCTTTTTCAGTTAAATCTCAAAATACTAACTTTTGGTTCTCAAATTTTTTTAACGTGAGGCCCTAATCCTCTTCCGTAGGAAAGTGAATAAACTGGATATTTATTTTCTTTGGTGAACATCTCCACACTGACCCAGAATGTACTACATTAACATCCACACCACTACAAGCGGCTGTAAAGCCATATTAAGCCTCTGAGGTCAGAAACAGGTGGAGTTAGTCTCACGTTCTTCCCCCTGAGCTACAACATCTACCAGACTTTTCTCCTGCAGAGACTCTGAGTGTCAGCAGCCTGAAGCTGATCCCTGATCAATGTCCAGACTTCATATGTAAATCCCTGCTGACCACATACTGAGACCCCCCCCCAAACACCTCCACTCCTCACAGCTACCCCCAGGTCGAAGCCGGTGAATAGTGAGAGGGGCTCCTCTTCACACTCACTCTACCCCCTCCTTTAAGAACCAAAACCTCCACTAATCCACCTGTCAGTCATTGGAGAGGGGGGTGAGGAGGAGAGAAATGGGGGAGGAAAAGGGTGGCTTTTGTCCTGGCTAGCCTCTCTGATCCAGAGAAGCAGTCAGCAGTTCTCCACTTGGTGATTTTTATCTCGCGAATACAAATACAAATGACAAGCTCTTAAAATTCAAGTTGATGCGTTACCAAAACCCTCAAGAATATGAAAAGAAGTGTCATTTTAAATTGACATTGCCCAAATTTGGAAAGCAAAGATTTGAGACTTTTTTTCGCATTTTAATCGTCGAAGGGAAAATTGGGAGCGTATAATCAGAATGTTAGTAGGTTTTGTGTATGAGTTGATGGGAAAATATGTACTTACTCACATGCTCTCTATTATTTTTCCAAAACAAGACAGTAAATCTCTTAATGTTGGAGTTTAGCCAGACCCAAGCCAGGTGATGTTCCTACATTCATTTACATTAGACAGGAGTTGAGGTGAGGATAAAGCTGCCGCACGCAGCATTGATAAATAGTCACTACGCCTGGGGGCTGCAGTCCAGGCTTCAGATGAATCCATTCCCAGGATCAACTGAGGTCAAGTTTAACTGACATTTAGATAACAGTGGAAACTAAATCGTAATCAATACCAAAACAGGTAATAAGCAATGCATTGCCGATGATTCAAAAGTAGTTTGACATCATGATTTACACACGGCATCTATTGCACGTCTGTCCGTCCTGGGAGAGGGATCCCTCCTCTGTTGCTCTCCCTGAGGTTTCTCCCATGTTCCCTTTAAACTGTGGGTTTTCTCTGGAAGTCTTTCCTTGTATGATGTGAGTGTCCAAGGACAGAGGGTGTCGTATTGTCACACTGATATTCTGTACAAACTGTGAAGTCCACTGAGACAATGTAACATTTGTGATATTGGGCTATATAAATAAACATTGATTGATTGATTGATCATTAAAAGGTTGTTACAGGGCAAATTCTTTTTTTTTTAACCATGCAAGAAAACTCCAGCTAAAAGCCTTCAATGAATGTCTTTCAGACGTCTACATTTCATGATAATCTGCAACCAATACTAGGTGAAAATATTGAATTTCTGCTCTAAAAATCAAGTAAAACAATGAAAAAAAAATAGTCTTACCATAGATGCGGATTGCAGTCGTTGACATCTGCAAAAGAAAGAAGAGAGACCGCATGACAATCAGTTACTTTAACATTTCAATCCAAGCCAAAACCGGCTTGGATCATTTCCTCTAAATCAGACAATAAATCTGTTTTAATTACAAGTTGAAGGTGCATGTGAGGTTGTAAAAACAGAAGCGGTAGCGCATAGAGGAATATTCTCAGGTATTTCTGCTACATTGAGAAGTTAAACAAGCATGTTCGTGTCAGCATCCAATAAATAATAATGACGGGGAAACTACAATTTATTGGAAAGTTGAGAATGATCTAATTTGGCACAAAATGATATGCGGATGAACTTGTCGGTTGACGCTCTCAAGGATAGAAATATTCATCCATGGACTCGAATTTGGACTTTTTCATGTTTCATATTTTCTTTTGTGCTCTTTATTTTCTCATTCTGCCATAAAGGGCCTCTTTAAAAAGGGACATACTCTGTGCACAGGTGGCTCCCTCCCAGCCGTCCTTGCAGATGCAGGTGAAGGCGTCTCCTCCTCCTCCGACACATGTCCCTCCGTTCTCACATGGACGGGAGTCACATGTGCTGTTCTTGGCTAAAAAACAAAAACATTGAAATCCTATGAATTTGTTTTTCATTCTGACCACCTCACAATGGGAGCGCTGCTCTTTTGGCCTGTGTTCACGTAGTCTCACAGATCGTAACTCTGCGGGACCATATATTATTATTACACTACCATTAGCAAAGCCATAACATAATAATGAGAGTGAGATAAGAACACTGAATGCCTACCTGTATTGCAGGTGCTGCCACCCCAGCCTGAGGGACAGCTACACAGGAAAGAGTCTCCGTGGTCGTAACACGTCCCTCCATTACTGCAGGTGGTGGAGTCGCACTGGCTCTCACCTAAAGAAAACAATGGGTATAAATGTCACACTTTTGAAATCGGTGCCAGGGTGATGATTAGTGATTACTTCAGCTTCAAAGTAGAGATCAGAGGCAGGGAGGAGAGAACAAGCCCACACAGCAGCAGGTGACGGCATCATGCATCAGAAAGGAGAAACTGAGGTCATAAAACACTATGAGACCTGACATGTTGGAGAAGATGGTACTGAGGACAAAGATGCATCATAACAGTGTCACAGGCTTTCATTTCCTTTTTGCTGTGATAGTTAAATTGCCTTTTTCCTAAACAGCAGCCATTTTATTTCATAACACACCATTCGGCTAAAATGCCTGTTTAAACTTCATACACATTTTTCTTCATTTTTTTATAACAGCATTTACAAAGAAATATAAAAGAAAACATGTTAGCGAAGTAGCAGTACTTGTTGATTTTAAAAGACTTACGGGAGTGGCAGGTCTTTCCCTTCCAGTTGTCCACACAGTTGCAGTAGAAGTCGTTGAGCAGATCCACACATTGGCCTCCGTTCTGACAGGGGTTCCTGTTGCACTCATTCACATCTGGAACAAAGTCGAGCAATGGGATTATTTTAGTCATTGATCGTATAATGATTGTGTCGGGATTACACGGAGCCTTCATGTCTTGAAGCATGAGATAAACCTGTTCAAAACTTGACAGTTATATTAGTTTGGCTAGTTTTGACAAACAAATAGGTCTCATATAGACCATCTCTAAAAATGAATGTACGTGATGGTGTCATCTGCAAACTGGCACAACTCCATTTCCACTGTATTTAGAATCATTCCGCTGGTTTAGTTACCACACTTTTCTGATTCCTTTCATGCCAAAAAACACTAGGTTGAATCGTCATCCATATTTTTCCCAGACTGCTGATTGTTCCTCTGCTGCTAGAGGCTAGTGAGGCATTTTCCCCAGAGTATTTGACTCACAGGCAGCATGACTTAACAAGGCTCTTTTCCAACGTTCACATGCCTGTACTGTTGCTAACCCCAACAAACCCAGTTCTCACACTAACAGACACACACTCATACTGTACACACACTTACCAACATCACATAGATTACCCTCCCAGCCGTTTGGGCAAACACACTGGAAGGAGTTGATCCCATCGATGCAAGTGCCTCTGTTCTTACAGGGTGAGGACGCACAGTCGTTAATGTCTGCAAGCAGAGAAAGGACAGATATTTACACATGTGAAATTATGAAAACAATTATTTGGCTAAGTTGTTGTATTTTTGAAAAGCATCAATCGAATTTTTGCATTTTGTTGGGTTTTGTCCTGCATTTTCTGTCATTTAAGGTTGACAGCGCTCAGTTTTTAATCATGCTGTCTGAAAAACTGTTATTTTGTTCAAATGATAAATAAGACTCAGCATAAGTCTCAAAAATATATAAATAAAATAACACCCACTACTAACAGCTTTTTTGAGAATAAGAGAAAATAGATGAGTTTGTTGTGTATAAACATACAAAGCATTATGTAATGGTACCAACCGAAAACTGCAATGGAATCAGATGCAAAACCTTTTTCCAGCCTTTTCCTGCATATGTTTTCCTCTTGATTTGCCTTGTGTTTATTGTTTATCTGTATAAAGTAAACTAAGAGTTATAATTACTGAAACCTGAGTAGGATACACCGTAATAATCATGTGGTGCCCTGTGATGGAAACTGATGATAAATATAGTGTGTGTGTGTGTGTGTGTGTGTGTGTGTGTGTGTGTGTGTGTGTGTGTGTGTGTGTGTGTGTGTGTGGCTATTAATGACTCACTCTCGTGGCAGTAGGTGCCTGTGAAGCCCGGCTCACAGGAGCAGCTGAAGTTCCCGGCAGGCAGGCTGATGCAGCGTCCGTGGGGACCGCACACATTGGAGGAGATATGCCACACCCGCTTTTGGGTGTCATTTGTTGCCACAGCAACTGTGCAACTGTCAATCACTTGGTATGAAAGAAGTGATATAAAAGATCAGCAGGGCAAATAGTTTGTGCTTTATTAACACAAATATATTTAGAAATGATGGATAAAGGCTTTTCCAGGTGTATTACCTTGACAGTGGTTGGTCTTGCAGTGGTCCTTACGCTCTGAGCAGGTTTTGCCCTCGTAATCGTCGGGGCAGCTGCAGTAGAAATCTCCCACCAGACTGTGGCACTGAGCCTTATTGTGACAGGGGTTCGGGCTGCAGGGGTCATTCTGCACCTACCGAGGGAAAACAGGAAGGTAGAGGTGTTGTCACAAACAAGGGAAAAATAGCTGTAAGCACAAAACTGTTTTTTCACTAGCTGCATCTAGTCCTCACCTCACAGGTTGCACCAGCGAAGCCCTGCGGGCATTCACACATGAAGCCGTCGATCAGGGCCTGGCAGCGCCCTCCGTTCCTACAGGGACTGCTGGTACAGCGGCTCCTCTGAACCTCACAGTGCCGACCCTCAAACCCCGTCTGGCAAACACACTGGTAGCCTCGGGCCACCTTCTAAAAAACAAAAATAACATGAGAAGTTAACAAACACTGCTGACAAATGTCACTCAGGTGCAGATAATTAAAAGTACACAGATTCAAAAATTAGATATCATTCAAGAAATACGTTCTTGTTTGGTTGAAGCAACAGCAAATGTAAATCCACAAACATTCTTCCAGTTTAGAAATATGGGGATATTGGGAGCTATCACGGCCAAAACAATTCAATTAATACATTTCTGCCCAGTTGCTAGAATTTGACAAATGGCATTACAGAGTTGAAAATAAGCCCACTCACCTCAATGACTCAATTTGTCAATCATAACGATGCCAGTGTGATAATATGGCATTTTAAATCAAAACATCAATTAACTACTTTTTTTGTTGTTGCAATTCTTTAAAATCATCTCGTCAATTCCCTCATCTTATAAACCTATATTAAAAAAGGAAAATCCCTTTAAGGCATTGCAAGTCATATGGCACAATCTTTCAAAACCATTTTACCCTTGAGGATATTCTTCTATGTTCAGGTTATTTGATGATCAACCGATAATCTTGTTCTTACTCCATTACTGCGTTATGTTACGTAACAAACTATATATAGCATAGTTCAACAAAGACCACAGTGTTTTTGAACGCTATAAAAAACTCCACATTTGACATTTGTGAATCTCACCTTGCAGGTCCCTCCATTCTGACACTGACCATGGCAGCTGTTCACATCTGAGAGGAAAACAAACAGAGAAAACGTCAGGTTTCAGTTGGACAAATGGAAGTGCAATAGGTGCTGAAACATGCAGCTGCTACAGAAGAAGTAGTGGAAGATACAACCAAAGTGAGGTGATCCATGCCTGAGGAAATATCAGATGCAGGTAAAGAGTTGCAGCGAGAACATACATGCACTGCAGAAGTTAAAACTACCCCCTCAAGATTTTCTCTTAAAGATCAATCAGGAAAAAGCAAACAGTTAAGTCTTATAGCTTGGAAGAGTAAAGCCAGGGTGTGGCAGGTATAAACAGCCACCTTAGAGCAAAAGAAAGGAGAATTAATAGAGAGCTCATTTACTAACCCCATTGTAATGCACTAGCACTTCCCCATGGGGATGCATTAAAACATGTCTCTGTGGTTGATGAGAACTTAAAATTCTAATTTAACAAGAAAAAGCTACGTTTTGCTAGCGTTCAACAATAATACAGTCTGTGGGTTTTAACCATAAGCTTTATATCAAAATGCCATTACTATACTAGATCAGCATTCAACTACGAATTAGGCTATGTTTTTGGTAGCCGTTGAAGAGCTATATATCATATAAGCAGTAATAAAACATTTGTTTTTGTCCACATTATGAGCCAAATTAGCTTTTTACTAATTAGCATAAAAAGGGTAAGACTAGATCATTTTGCTAGCATTGTTAGCAAAAGGCGATTAGCATTCTGTCAATGCATTATGGAACATGTTCAATTGAACTATGTTCAATGCTGACTAAATAAGAAAGTTATTTTGGTTAAATATATAGTGTTCTCTAGTATAACATGATATGCCTCTAAAACTATAACTATATACTACAAAACAAATCCAGAAACATGATTGTTTTTCAGAGAGAATGAGAAGTGAGAAGAAGCTAGTGCTACAGAAGCTAGCCAGCCAAGAAGACTAGCCTCCTGCTAATGCGCTACAGGTAGGAGGAAAGAGGCTGAAGAGGTATAATTTTCTGGATAGATACTGACTGATTTCACAGTTCTTGCCAACCCATCCAGGAAAGCAGGTACAGTGATATCCACCAATCAAGTTTTTGCAAGAGTTAGCATTGAGGCAAGGCTTCCCCGCACACTCATTAACGTCTGCAAAATGGAGATTAGAGACACAGAGAGAATGAATCAGAGAGCTGAGAGCGTGCTCATAAGCCCCGTCACCAAGCATAGCTCCATGTTGTAAAACACTCTAAAATTACAGGAGAAGAAGGTAGGTCTCTGAACTCTGACTTCAAACTGCTTCTTTTTTTTAGGGGGAGCTTCTTTTGACACCCCTCATAAACACCACATCTTTAATGTTGCTCAACCCTACTTGGAAAATTGCTGCTCATTTTTCATCAAGAATGAATCACAGTTTTTGAAATCATTGTTAGGACTTTCGACATACGATACAATGCAAAAATAATACTTTGACAGGTGTGGTTTACGGAAATTTCACACATGTCCTCCTGTCTTGAAGTAATTCAAAAATAATGTTTTTCTTTCCGGAACTGCTCAATGATTGTTTTGGAAAGAGCCTGCAATGCCTTTACGGTATTTGACTGAAACTATGCATTAGTATAATAACTTTCTTTGCAGCTCAATGAAAGCGTTCTCTTCTTCCTCCTCATAAGGAAAACAATAACCTTTAATGAAGTTACATTAAAAAAATAGCTGACATCAGAAGAACATATTTTCTTGTGCAGTAGAAATGATTATTATGCAATAGCTTTTACAGTTTGGAACATTTCAAGTGTCTAATATGCAAATTCGAGCCTGTGTGTGGTGTGGCCTGTCTGCTGTATCTCAGATTTCTTTCATAACTTTTATAGGTACATTACCCGAGGTCTTTTTCATGTAAAATTGCCAGAACATTTACAGGGTGAACTCTATGTCTCACTGGGTTTCATGTGCCTAGCGCCCCACTGCTCTATCCTCACCCCTCCTTTGGGGTTAATGTCTCTCTATAGCATTCCCTGAAGGCCAACCTGCGGCATTCCAAGTGGTCAGTTTCAGAGGCAGCCATCGCCGCACCCGCCCTGCCGCCTCACTATAAACCGACTCAGTGCATTAATACTACTCCCAGGAGGTAAGCGGCACCTGTTGGCCGGCCTGAAACTAAACACCCCAACCCCTTCCCAAAAACCCAGCCTCGCCCGCTCCCACTACCCCTCCTCCTCATCCCGCTCACCAGAACCTGTAACACAAACCAAAGCATTTCTGTTGCTCCCCGCGTGTGTTTACAGGTTATGAAGTGTTTCCTGGGTGAGGTTTAGAGGGGTAAGGGCTCCACTATGTCGGGGAGTCGCCTCACCGTAGATGCAACCCCGTTACGCCCAGTCTGGAGCCGAATATAACCCCCCCCCCCTCGCGTTTATTTTGTCCCAAGGCTAGCAGTTGCCAGGCTGGAGGTTATTTTTAGCTTTTCTCAAGTCACCTGGCTCGAGTTGCAGATGATACCCAGTGAGTGTGTCCATTGGGCGTGCATATATACAAACACACACTCCCATTTGAAATGAGTGGCCCTCCTGCAGTAATACTACTGGTTAAACGACACAGCGGCATAAACAAACACCCAGATATGCTGTAACTCTGCAAGAAAATGGGACATTCGTTTTACGTGCAACACACACTGAACACATCGGCTTTATTACAGAAAATGACATTAAGCAATGATCAGATGTACACTAACGAGTTACTCAAACTATAAAAGGCTAATCTTATTAATCACTCAGTGAGACGTACCTATCTGGCAGGTCTTGCCCGTCCACTGTTGAGGACAGAGGCATTCGAAGCCGTTCTCCATGTCCACGCAGGTCCCGCCCTGAGCACAGGGGCTGGAGGCACATTCGTCCGTGTCTGAAATATAAACCAGACTCATGTTGAAGCCAATTATCATTTATAAAAGTCACACACCAGCTACCACTGGTGATATTGATTTATGTTTGCATACTCATCAGATAGTTTGGAAGTTCTTAAAATCAGACCACTGGGATGGTGAAACACTGCAAGTCGCTGCTAAATTAGCCTGTTTAGTTCCTCTCCTAACTTTATAAATCCATCATAAAACCACTAAAAGATAAAGGCGTTACCCGCCTACACCCTGCCAGGGATTTAAATCTGGTGGAAAAATACAAATCCCATTATTTAAAAAGAATGTACCGATATTTTTTTACTTAAAAACTTCTTATTTAAAAGCTGTTAGTCAATACCTTTATATATGCCCTAATATCAGAATGAAATTGAAGCCCCAAATTCAAAGAAATACATTTTGATCACCTTAATAATGTCTAAAATTGTAGCTTAGACTCTGATATTTTAAATACTTTGACTTAGTTGAATCCCAAACACAAAGCTCTTTACAAAGAATATTAAGAATCAAAAACCCGATCAAGCAGTGATTGGAGAGAAGTAAATAGATGTTGTAGAACTTGTTGTGCGCAACCGAACAGACCACATATTATTTGTAGGTTATATTTTTGTATTGCCCCCTCACCTTTAGCACAGGTGGGCCCGGACCATCCTGCTGGACAGTGACACTCAAAGCCTGATGGGACTTCATGGCACGTCCCTCCGTTAGCACAGGGGTTGGAAACACAGGCATGCTCCGCTACAGAGAAAAGTTAAGAACAAATTAGCAATGCTTGTAAATCTTCAATTGGATATATCTAACGTTGCCTTGGACGTGACATGGCAAACCAACTTTAATTAATTAGTTAATTTGATTCATAGTCTCACCAATCTCGCAGTTTTTGCCAGAGTAGCCGTCGGGACAGGCGCAGTTATACTCATCGGGCTCTGTGTTCATACACGTCCCTCCGTTCTTACAGGGCCGGTTGGTCCCACAGTAGTTCAGATCTAGATGAAAAAAACCACTTAATTTACCCTCCTGTGTTTTTCTGTGTGAAGCACTCGGGTAACAAATAATAGGCAACTTGACAAAGGGAGAATTAGGGCAGGAGATATCTGACAGCTAAGGAAATGTAAAAGAAAAAACATAAATCTAAATATAGTTTAAATGTTGCACATGTCATCATTCTGCAGCTCTGTGCTCTTTAACAGTTACACACAATTGTTCTTTCAGGCTATATTTCACTTTTTTTCTTGCAGAACATCTGATTGTGGGTTACAAGGAACACAATGTAAGAACATATTTACTGGAAAACATAATTTCTACTTCTGCATCTTGACCAATCACACGGTTACCTCATGCCACTAACGGCATGTGGCGTAACTCAACGCTGTGCAGGTTTAGCCCATTTACTGGAAATTAAAAATACTGTTTGAAAATCATACTGTAGTGTTTCAATGTACTTCTTGGAAGTTGCATGAGTTTTGAAATCTATCACAGTGAGTATGAAGCCTGCATTAATGTTGTTATAGTTATTGTTTAGGGATAACATCTTGAACATGTTTTACATCAATGCAACCAATGCAAATGGAAAATAATTGAAACCAATGTCCGTCTGAAAAGTTCAAAAACTATTTAATACGATCTAAATTCCTTCAGCATGCTTTGGAAAACCTAAGATATAAATTATGAAACATTCAGAGTTAGCGTATATAAAACACTAGAAAAGTATTTTAAATCTACAAACCAAATCAATTTTATACCATAATGAACTCCATCAATTATCCAAATGACCTGAAGAGGCCTTTTAGATCATAAGTGAAACCTCCTTGATAATCCAAAGCAAGTTGCCTCTGACTCAGCACTTATAGTTATCCAAAAGATAGATATACGTAGTTATTGTGCGGCTGAATAATACCTTTGTCACAGAGCAGACCCCCCCAGTTCTTCTCGCAGGTGCACTGCCAGGGCTCGTTGCAGGTCCCGTGCACACAGCCGGGGTACGGCAGGCATTCGTCACACAGCGGACCCTGCCAGCCGTAGTTACACCTGAACACAGCGCGGAGGAGGGTTAGTTTTATAGAGTGAGATATAATGTGCACCTGAGAGGAATCCCTGCAGTTTAATGTACTTCTTCTATCTTTCATTATTTCCTTTTCCTTCCTACTATTAGCACGTTGTTAAATTGTGCTTCAGCCTGAGCGGATATCAGGCACAAAGATGCACTTAATAACACGGGGTGTTGTTCATGAAAAACAATGATAGTGACGTTGCGATAACAAACAAGTCATTTAATACGTTTACAATGTGTGAGCAGCGCATGGTGCCGGGCAGCGTGCCAGTTTAACGTCCCCTGGTAAACATGAGGAATGCTGGAGATGCCAGGAAAAAAGGGAAATGCTTTCAAGTTATGTAGAAAGCGGAAGGCGATTAGATGAAGGAAACATGTTTAGTAGAAAAGTCCAGAATAAAACAGGAGGGTTGACTTGGCAGTGATTTGTCGGACAGAACATCTTCATCAAGGTGAATGACATGTTTGCTGCGGCTCCTAATCTTAGGACACACAGCGCCAGGGACATTCCTGAGTGTGTGTGTGTGTGTGTCCTAACATGCTATCAAGTGCTATCATTCATGTTCATTTTTTACTTTATTTGCTGATAGTTATGAAGTCATTATGTCCTTAAGTGAACTCTAATAATTTTCTCAGGAAGAGCAACTCTCTCTTCAAAGACTTTGTAGAAATAAGTGCACTACCAAGAATAAGACCCTGCACCAGAATCAAGTGAGTTGCTAAGATGCCAGTTATTCACTAGTTATATAACATAGGGCTGAAGCTGATGAATGTACTTATTATTGATTATTCTCTCTATTATCTTAATGCCTGTAACAATATTTCTCTCACAAGTCCATCATCTTTAAATTGTAAAAACTGTATTTTGTTGTTTTTCTTTTATTTAATTGATTATCAATACACTTATATTGTTTCAGCAATGTTCAGAAAATATGTTAAGCATTCAATTATGGACAAAAATGACTTGCTAAGATGCTGTTTTTGTGTCATGTGTTGCATATCTTCTCTCAGCCCTCTTCCTGAGTGTATCTGTGTGGGGGGGGGGCCACACTTGGAATGAGTGTGGGGTTTGTGGAACGAGGGTTCGACGTCTCGAAGGGGAGGCCAGTGCAGGGTTAGCTAATCTGTTGGTTTATGGCAGCACTCTGTTATTCCAAGGCCAGTGGTAACCTTGCCCCACCTGTCCTGTCATTTCTCCGTCGGGGAGCTATTTAGGGAACAAACGCCCCCCCCCCCCCCCCCCCCCACACTACCAATGTCCATCCACAAACACTTCAAAATGGATGCCGACCAAACACTTGGGGTCCTGCTCTGTAGTGAGCTGTAATGTATTGCAGCATGCTGGGTATTGTCCGGTATCAGTCCCTTTCTTTATGCTCTATATATAGGTCCAGTGCAACTCACTACTTCTATCAGGATTGTTGTTATTTTTATTTGGTTTTACCTGGTGTAATGACAATAAAGGAAGTCTATTCTACTTTAAATCCAGGCTGAAGACTTTTATGTGTGCATAATAAATCAAATAACCACTCATATCGCACTGTCACTTTTATTCTTGCATTGTATACCTGTATTATTCTATCTTACCTTGTTTTATTTGTATTCTCTTGGCTTTTAATGACTGTTTTTATATGTATGTTAATGTCGCTTGGTAATGTGTTACTTTTGCACTATATATCTTAATGTTGTTAATGATTTTTGGAAAGCTTTTTAAATGACCTTTTGTTGAAATGTGTCATGAACATAAACTTGCCTTGTCTTGCCTAGTTTATTAATCCAGGTTTTAAAATATATCTTCTTCTATAACTGGGAACCTAATATTACCCTGTCAATAGCTGGGAATCTCTATGTAGGTGGAGTTCCTTTATAAAGAACTCATTATCAATAAATCACATAATAAAAATGCAACCATGACAAAGATCTGTTTATGTCAAAGCATGCACGACCAGTTTAGCTGCATGCACAATTTGTAAGCTGAAACTCTCTTAACTGCAGTTTGACCGCAGCGTGAGTAAAAGCCCAGTTATGTGTGTGTGTGTGTGTGTGTGTGTGTGTGTGTGTGTGTGTGTGTGTGCGTGTGTGTGTGTGAGAGCCAGAGCCGTACATTGTTTATGTGTGCGGCTGTCCGGCACTGTGGTCAGCGGTGGTGCCCTGCACACTGTCAGGGTGCAGCAGCGTGGACAGTCTGTCTGGCTGCATTGTGGGAGTGCAGGGAAATGGTTTGGAGCAAAGGGTGGCATTACCCCAAGCCCCGTCGCTGGGCTGCTGCCATCCCATCAATGAGAGGGGCCTCGAGGGGCCAGCAGGAGCCCAAAATATCCCGCCTGCCCACAAACCCCTGCTCCGCTGCTGCCCCTCAGACAAACCACACCCAGAGGACGGGACGGTGGGCAGGGGTAGAGGGGCCTGTGGGTGTGTGTGTGTGTGTGTGTTTGTGTGCTGAATAATTTACAGGAAAGCCTCGCGCCCAAATCCAGCGGACGGACTTAGCCCGCTGTTGCCTAGCTACATGTTTAGTAGTGTCACATGAGGGAGCGTAGGTTGTGAATGCGCTGTGTGTAAGAAACAAGATACCAAACACACACTTTTAGTTTTCCTCTGCCAGGCTGCTGCTCTGCCTTTCTGTTTCTCACTGCTTTCTCTTTCTTTAGCCCTTCTGTCGCTTTATTTTTCTCTCTTTCACTTTCACATAATTTGTTTGGAAAATGTGACAAAAGGATGATTGTTTTGTTTACCCAACGGCTAATTTAAGCCTTATTTTTTTTAGTTTTGCTCATAATTGAAGTGTGATATCAGTCTTATATACTTTTATATTGAGTTAGAAACAAGCCAAGTTGTGGGAATCTTTTTCTGGAGCTTGCCACAAAAATTCACGTCAGAACCGCATTTGTTTCAAAATGTTATTTTAGTGATGACTCTGAAATGTAGCTGAAAGCTAAATAACGACGCAGTAAGTACACTATAAATTATTTGTTAATATTTAGGGTACATCAGGTTAGAAGTTACATTAGAAATGTATAATAGTTTCAGCATCATCCTTGTTGTTTGAAATGTTTTTGATATACATGTATGCTAACTAGCTTTTGCGCTTACAGCTGTTCTCCTACACTGATGTCACGTTGTGATTGACATGGACTCTCATAACTAACAACAAACTTTTGTACCCTTATATTGGATGGATGTTTGCTTCTCTTTTTCTCAGCTATGTGTATACGTGTGTGTGTGTCTGTGTGTGTGTGTGTGTGTGTGTGTGTGTGTGTGTGTGTGTGTGTGTGTTACTGGTTGTGATAAAGCTCTAAAATCACATGTTGACACATGTTCCTCTCTCTTCAAATCCTCCGGCCATTTCCGATGAAAATGTCAGCGTCACTTTTTCTTTTTCTTTACGAGATCTTAACTAAATCAAACCTGCCTCGATATATAAATGTCCTCCACCCCCTCCCCTCTGCCATCTCGCCTCTTCCCAAATACTTGCTACTGTGTGTGTGAGTGTGTGTGAGCAGTTGGGCTTTTTAAAGCTCTCATGCTCCGCTGTGTCTAAATGCACAGCTCAGTTTCTCATGTAATCAAATCTAAATGTCCCTCTGCTGCCTTTCCTCTTTACATAACTGCACAACAAGCGCCTGGTCAGCCTTTTTTTAAATGTCATAATACTGTATCTAACTTCACTCCATCTACGATAGAAATGGCCTGTTTCTCATTCAGTTTCCACCTATTTGTCATTGTTTGTCAGTTTCAATCTCGACTTATAATTCTCAAAATCAGTTATTTCTTCATGAGCTATTTTTGACACTAGAGAAGATAATACAAACACATGAGTGGCCATTATCCGGCTATCAGTCACCAGACTAACTTTTGGTTATTGTGATGACTACTTCCTTTTTTATGTTTTTTATGTTCTTGACTATGAAAGTAGTCCCTTCAGCTGATATATCCCTCCATCCTCTCTGCATCCCTGCCTGTTGCCTGTAGCCTATTATTGGGTGGAATGCATCGAGTGCCAGCCATAACAAGACCCGGGATAGGAGGAGGTGATGCGGGCTGCAGACATTACAGGGGGGGGGGGGGAGGCACCGTGCCTCTCTAATGCTGGAGGTGGACGAGGGAGGAAGTGTATAACAAAAAAAACAGAGCTTTTGTGTGTGTGTGTGTGTCTGTGTGTGTGTGTGTGTGTGTGTGTGTGTGTGTGTGTGTGTGTGTGTGTGTCTGTGTGTGTGTCAGCTTTAAAACAGGAAGCAGAACAATGGCTTCTGAATCAGAGTGGAGCTGAGGGATGGAGGTGGAGGGACGGGGTGGGGGGGGGGCACCCATACAACTTGGATGGGGGAGGTAGGGGGTGAGGCTGCTTGCTATGTTACCAGCAACAGACCCTCCCCCCCCCGTTCCTCATCATCACCACTCCTCATTAAACTCTTCCCATCCAAACAAAAGCATGTTCGACATCACTTAACAACAAGTGGAACAAAGGTGAACTAAGTGGAATAAACAAACAAACAAACAATTACAAATGGGGGAGGGGGGGTGACTCACTTGCATTCTCCCGGCACGCTGCATGTCCCGTGTTCGAGGCTGCATCCCTGTTTGCAGATGGCTTTTGGAAAAGGAAACAGAAAGTGACAAGTTAGTGTTAGTTTCAAATCAGATATCAGCATTCTTTACACCATCACTTCAAATGATTTCAATGGAAGAGTCTTTGCATGGCTGGCACTTTGTTTTGCAGGTGGTCAAATCACTACAATCTAATTTCCTGTGTTTTTTCTTTTTTGTGAAATGCAAGAGAGTCTCTGCAGCGTTAACAATGGATGGCAGAGTCAATGTCGGAAAATTGAAGGTGTCTACAGCGCTGACGAGAGTTTCCTAACATTCTTTGAATTCTTACAAAGTGACACTTGACATGAACATCAGTGGACTTCCAAGTGTTTTTATGAAAAAGGGCAGTGAGGAGGTAGAGACTAAGAAAGCTTCGTCCATGTCTAGACCAGGTACTTAAGGAATGCAAATATCTGATCAGATTTCAAATGCTATAGGAGTACAAGCACAATAAAGTGTTATCATTTATTGTTTTCCTTCTTCATTTGATAAAATCTGTTAAATGTACCATATTTTTGTATTTATTGATTAAGTTTGTGTTTAAAAATTAAATTAATGTCAATGTCCAAAATTGTGATTTCCATTAATAATGTTGGTTTAAAAGAAATTGAAAATATTTGCTAAAAATATATAAAAATAATAAATAATATAAATAATAATAAATGAACGAATACATTTTTTGATGTATTTAATCTGATTTCTGGCAGGAAATGAAAACATAAAAAAAAAATGTCCACCAACTCACTAGAGGTTGGGCTTTATGTATACTTTCATACTCTTGATTTAATAATAAGGCTTTGATAATTGGTTACAGCTCTACTAAATAGTAACAAATCTCTTATAATTCAATATAAATCAGTTCTAATTAAACCCCATCCCCCTGTATCCTGTGTTCTGCTGCAGACCCCCCTTGTACCTGTATTGCAATCAGGCCCTGTCCAGCCCTCCATGCAGCCTCTGTTCCCCAGCTGGTCGCACACGTAATGCCCGAAGTAGTCGTCACGGGGACGGCAGACTTTGTTGCACTTGACGCCGTAGTAGTTTTCATCGCAGCGGACCCGGATGGTGTACTCGAGGCTGGTGAAGGAGCTCTTATACTCTACCACCTGCTTCTCTTCGCCGGGGTTTATCATCCCTTTGTGGATGCTGCGCTCAATCAGAAGCTCCTCATCTGGAAACAAGACAAATAAATCAGTGTTAGAGCAGAAAATAGTTGTTTTACTAAAAGGGGCTTAGTATTAGTCTGGCTTTGATGTAGTGTTTTATAATTATATGGTTTTATTATTTATGTCACTGTAATGTATAGACACTATACAGTTGAACAATATAAATTGTTACATTTATTTTATTTTTAACATTTTACAACTTGTTAGCATGGTAGTTTTGTCAAAAGCATTTTGAAGTGCATTTAATTCGCTAGAATGTTTTGTATAAATAAAGTTTTGCTTGAAATTGAATAACCAACTATTTTTTGTAATATTAGGTCTCTACAATAGTAGCCTACTTATTTTCATTATCATCTTTACCATTTATCTCAATGTAATTTTTTTAAACTTTTGAGCATTATGACTTAAATTAAAAAACACATTAATGTTATTTTTAACATTTTACTACTTGTATCGTCCTATTTTTCGTCAGTTGCTTGTAAAGCACTTTGAAGTGTATTTGATTTGCTCGAAAGCTGCTCTTTAAATCCTGGTTGACTTGATGCATATAAGCACTGAATAAATTAAAAACACTCAACAGGTCAAGTATTTGGGTCGGTTTGATAGCATGGTCTAAACAACACAAATTCTGAATGACATTCCAAGAAGCAGCACTGATTCCGGTAATGGGATTTGACCCAACAACCCGGTGTTTAGTGATATAAGACGATCCAAGATGGCTGTTGTGAGCACAGATCAGAAGGAAGGACTCACATCCGTTAAACATCACTCTGTTGCACCAAATATGTTGCAAAAGAAAGAAGGAGGAGAAAATAGGAGAATAAAGCGAGCTCAAACCGAGGGTGTAGCGAGGTCTGCAAGAACTTGATAACCCAAAATGCTTTTCTGCCCACCCCCACTCTCAGGATATCCACCCCTGACTCCATTGGAGCCAGGCCGGAAATAATAAGAGAAGTGGAGCAGACGAGGAAAAGCGACATAGGAAAGAGCTCATCGTACCAACTCAGCTCTGTCTTCAGTGGGAGGAGCTAAGTGGAAAACTGCTAGCAAATGTCTTAAAGGGGCCCTATTGTGCTTTTTGTTATATAGGTTTTTTTGCATGTAAATTGTCTGCCTGAAATCCCTCTATTGCACTATTTGCTTTACTTTTGGAACATAATGACATCACTATGTTAACACTCGCACGTCTATTGTTTGTAGCCTTTATTTAACCAGGTGAAAGCCCCTTGAGATCAAAAGATCTCTTTTTCAAGGGTGACCTGCAGGACATTAGTTACACATGTAACATAAAAACAACAGAACAACAATAAGGATGACATACAACATAATGTACAGGGTACAGTTTACAAACTCTATTTACAGAGACAGGTACCATGAGTATCAAACAGCATGTCACCCAGCTGAGTTTTAAAATGATGCAGGGGAACCAAAGTGCTCAGTTTTAAACATGTTTGCAGACTGTTCCAATTTAGTGGAGCTGCACAACTAAAAGCTTTCTTCCCTAAGACAGTCCTAGCACTTGGCACATTTAATAAAACAACATCATGAGATCTCAGGCAATATGTACTTTCAATTCGTCGAGAGATCAGAGAGCAGATATAAAAAGGTAGTTTCCCCAACATGGCTTTGTAAATGAACATGTACCAGTGACTGAGCCTCCGTACAGTTAGTGAAGGCAGACCTGCCTTGGCCTACAGGGTACAGTGATGAGTAAGTGCTTTATAGTTAGTAACAAATCTCAGGGCACTGTGATAGGCGGCATCTAACTTTTCCAGGCAATGGGCAGGTGCATTCATATAGATCAAATCACCATAGTCCATCACAGGTAAAAAGGTCACAGTGACTAGCCTTTTCCTGGCTTCAAAAGAGAAACAGGACTTGTTTCTGAAAAAGAAACCTAGTCTAACCCTCAGCTTTTTAAGCAGGTTATTGACATGAAGTTTAAAAGTAAGACAATCATCAAGCCAGATACCTAGGTATTTATAACTGGTAACCACTTCAAGTACTTGTCCTTGCATAGTAACAATATCCAAAACAGGCTCTGGTGTCTTTTTAGCTTTTGAAAATAGCATTACCTTGGTTTTATCAACATTTAAAATAAGCTTAAGTTCAGCAAGCTGAGTCTGAATAATGTTAAAAACAGCCTGCAATTTAACACCAGCCTCCTTAATGGAGGGACCTGCACAGTACATCACGGTATCATCCGCATAAAAATGTAAAGTAGCTTCATCCACATTTTCACCTAAACTGTTGATATGGAGAATAAAAGTGGACCTAAAACAGAACCTTGAGGAACACCATTAGCAATGTTTAACCACTCAGAAGACAGCTCATCAAAGTGTTCACAAACCAACCCACTGCATGGCTGGATATGCCGATACTGAGTAGCCTCTGCTTTAAGATGCGATGATCGACGGTATCAAACGCTTTTGAAAGGTCAATAAATAGAGCTGCACATCTCTGCTTATTGTCTAAAATACTCGTAATGTCATTCACCACTTTCATTGTGGCAGTGATGGTGCTGTGTTGTTTTCTGAAGCCTGACTGATGTTTAGACAGGATATCATTTTTACATAAAAACTCCTTTACCTGTTCACTCACTAGGCGTTCGAGCACCTTCGCCAGAACTGACAATTTAGAGATTGGCCTATAGTTATTTAAAATAGTTGCCTCCCCTCCTTTTAGCAAAGGCAAGACATAAGCTGACTTCCATACTTTTGGAATTGCATTTGTGCTGAGGGAGAGGTTAAAAAGAGTAGTGAGAGGAAGAGCAATACAATCTGCAGCTATCTTTAAAAAGAAAGGTTCTACGTTGTCCGGGCCAGCCGGTTTCTTAGGATCTAGCTTAGATAAGGCTTCATGAACAACATTGACAGTAAAAGGAGTAAAACTGAAAGGGTTTTCCAGACCACATTGTTCAGAGTCACGGATTGGGGTGTTCACAGAAGCAGAGTTAGAAACAGAATAAAACAGAACCGCAGGACACAAAATGCTCATTAAAGCAATTTAACATAGTGGCCCTGTCCGATATAGTGCCAGATGCTGTGGTAAGGCACGGAGGTAGCTCATTACGGATCTCACCGGTGGATATCAATTTTATTGCATTCCAACATTTCCTAGGATTATTTGGCTAGCGCTCCAACACATTGTACGTAATAAGCTGAGGGGCGGGACATCTCTTAGTGGTTGAAGAAGGAGAAGGAGAATGTTGTTGACTCATAAACAAATGGGAAATGGGGATTCAATTAGGTTAGTTTGACTTTATTGATCCTAAATTGGGAAATGTATGCAAATTCTGAATATGGGATCAATAAGGTAAATAGAATAAATCAATTTAAAGTAAATTAATTAAACTTTTGTCACTTAAGATTAACATAAAGATGTATTGTTTTACCTGAACTCTAACAATTAATTCTGAAATAATAGTTTACCATTAAAAAAGTAAGTTTCCTCTTTTATACCCTATCAGCTGGATTAGACTTGCTACATTTAAATGTTGCCACATTTATTAGGGATAACTTTAAATTTGTTCTGACATTTACCTTGTATAAAATGTTATGTTTTCATCGCATAAACTGTGTAAAACTTGAGACATATCCCTTTGCTTTTCTAAAATCATCTCCATAGCTGCTGAAGTTTGACACTGTATAGAGAAAGGATCCATTTCCAGGCTGTCCTGATTTACTGAGTTTCTGTGCGAGCTAACCAACTGCCACAGTTTCCAGTCCCACACCCACCACCTGAAACACTCGCTGCTGCTCTTCTCCAGCAATTAGATATAAAAATATAGACCAATGAGCTCCCTCTGTAGTGAGGAGACACACTAAGAGAGGCCGCTGTTACTAGGGAGAGCAGGAGAGAGTGGGCCATTACAAAAAACACGTTACATAAACAACAGGGGGCTTCAGATCCGAGAAGCTGATCGTGTCCAGAGAAAACTGAGGAGAAGATTCATTTCAGAGACAAAGCGTGACTTTTTTCTACTTGAATGCAACAAGCCACCTGTAACTGGACTGTTTTGTTAGGGGGCTGTGACACTTTTACTTTGACCTCTTGACAGCTTGTCACTTGTAACTGTGGTGATCTTTGAACTGAAGACAGGGCTGTGTTTATGATGCTAGTTAAAATAAGTTTATTTTGTTTTCCTTCACCGGACATTTGATGGTTTTCGGAAAAAAAGTCACATTTTCCCCATCTGGCCCACATGAGTGTGTCTTAAATGCTCAAAAATAAAACCCCAGCAGTTGATTATTAGTGGCTTAATTTGAGGAATACACGCACTCATATACAAAGCCCCCTTTCTATTTCATTTTACAAAAGAAACCAACGTCGTAAAATGTTGGCTAAACACATGCCGTTGTTAGTGTTTTGCAAAAATAAAATGAACATTGTAAACGGTTCACAGAAGTCACGGTTCGGTATGTACCTGGGTTTGGGGGTCACGTACAACAAGAAAAAGCAAAAAAAAGTCCCAAATGCATAATTCCAGGTTTGTTGTTATTTATTTTGAACAGCAGTGCAAGTTTCAGTTTAAAAATAAGCAACTCTAACATTTTGAATAATTAACTATATTACAGTTAAAAACAAACCACTAACAGTACCACACACACTCAGATGGCCATATTATCTATAATGGCTGATGTCAAACAAAAAGGTTCAATAAGCTGTAAAACTCAAAAGAATGTCTTGAAAATATTACAAAATAAATAAGTGTTTCAATCACAATCAATAAAAGCCGGGGTCCTCCACTATTGCATAGCCGTTGAAAAGTATATGCCAAAAGCTTCTGTTATTTATTTTGGTCTCTCGGCTTTCTTGTCTATTGGCTTCTTAAAAACAGCGGGGATGAGCTGTTGAACTGCTGTTGTCTTTTGCCGGGCTCCGGTGATGCCTTCTGATATGATTTAGTGGTTCTTATTATACATCCATGGTCCGATCCACCACTCGCACTCCATCGTTATTGTAGTCCAAAGGGAACCCGAAATGTTCCCACACGGCTGATTTA